CAAGTTATATAGCTAGCCCATTGCCATTTCACTGTAATATTCCGTTGAGCTATGTCAGTTACTCTGATTCTAATGCAAATACCTTCATTTCTAACTTTATCACGTAGAGAAACCCCTCTCCAATTTAAAATTTTTACATTTTTTAGATGATAGTTTGTCTAACATAAAAAAACCATAAACCCAAGAATGTCTTTATATAGTTATTTATACTTAGGTAAGCACCATTCTTTTATTTATTTAAATTGTTTGATTTGTGTACCTAAATGTAAGTATCTGTATCTTTATTTCTCTCCCCAATAATATTTTATAAAGTCATACTTATAAAAACAGCGTTTTATGGTAATACATAATTATAAAATTCATTATCAACTAATTAATAAAAATATGCGACAATAAAATTACATAGGTATTAAAAACGATCGAAATTTAAGTAACGAGAGCATGTTCATCGTTCCACATCTAAATTATATAAAAATGCATTTTTCAATTTCACTAATCAACGTCGCCGCAAAAATTTCTTCTTCTTTGGGCACTTTAAAAATTCATTTATTTAGAAAATAATATTTACAGTTACCAGTGTACAGATATTAACTAAATTAGGTATTTCTAGTCATAAAAATATTTATAATTGAGTATAAACTTTTAAAAAACTAATATATATTTGAACGAAGTCGCTCCAACACCGACGTGCGGTCCACCCTCGACGATGTCCGAAAACGGACTGTGACAGAGCTTACATGGCGACGGAGCATGCGCGCTTGCGTAAATATATCCAATTTCAGGGAAAAATGATATATTCTCTTATAAAACGGGTAATAAAAATAAAACTCTCAATTAAAAATATTAATATTTTTAAGACCTTTTTTTTAGTGTAAGAACTATTTAAAAAGCTTGTGCCGTTTTGGAGAAATTTTGCAAAATATGACAAAGATAGGTACTCTTTGGGGATTTTTTTTCTAATAAGGGGTTGACAAAAATACAATTTTGTTAAATTAAAAACATTTACCAAATCTTCTTCTCTTACCTTGTATTTTTTCTTTGTGGATTAAATGAACAGTTATTGAGATTTTTTTACTTAAATATCCTAGATTTAGGCATTTCAACCACTGTTAAGGCCTTAATAAGCTGTGCTGCCAATTCAAGACTGTAAAGGGAATTCGATTATGTTTGTTAATATACAGTGAGACGCGCTTGTATTTGATTAAGATTTATCAAGATCAATATTTAAAACAGTAAAAACAGTTTTATTATAAAAAAACCTAGTGCGTAAAAAAGTTTATTTAAAAGATAAAAAATGCATAAACCTTTTGGCACTTCCACAACTAATACGAATCTAACGACACCCCGTAATGTTACAATTCATCATCCGTTTAGGTTACAGAGAGCGCCAAAGAAATATACATACATACACATACATAAATACATGTATACAAACCAAGTGTATGTATGTATGTGTTGAAAACGTTACCCTTCTTCTGGGGCAGTCGAGTAAAATGCTATTTTAATTACATCAAACGTGAGCAACAACATCTTAAGGCTAAGAGCTCTTATATTTACGCTATACGCTAATACTTCACGTTCAATCAAACCTGAAGTGAGAACTGTCTGTCATGTACAATATAACCCTACAATATACTGGATTGTACATGTTTGACTTGTGACCAATGCGTCACCAAAAAAAAATGTGATAGCACATATAGCTGAGGTGAAACACCGAAGTAGTTAAGATGTACCGTTCCTGGCACACTGAGTCAGAACTGGTACAACTCACCATCCTCAGCCCTCATAGAGTGACGGTGGGTCCACGGATCCTAAAAAAATAAATAAACACAGTTTTAGCACGCTCTGATCACGAATGTGCGATCCGTTTTTGCGTAGGATACGCGGTTCCGGAGTTGTGAAGATCAATTATAAGTCATTAGCTGATCAGTAGTGAATGTGATTCTGATTACTTAAATTACTTCTGTGTACTAGTTAGATTCAATGAGTTGGCGTCTTGTGCTGCTGAGAAGAAGACAAGAGCAGAAGGAAGAGATCAGTGTGGCAAACGTGTACAGAACACGTACTTGAATAGCAAAACTACGGCCGATGAGAGCTGAGAATGGTGAGTTGTACCATTTCTGACTTAGTGAGCCAGAAATGGTACATCTTAACTACTCACCGACGCTCCAGGAAGAAAGCAGTTTGTGAATTTTCTGCCATTACACAGATAAGATAAACCATAAATCCTCACAAAATCAACATCAACACTTGCAAACAAAGATTTGTGAAAGCTTCTAAAATTTTAAAAATATACATCCAAATGTTAGTGTTACAGAAAATAGCTAGGTACGGCTTGGAGTCCCAAAATTAAAAAAAAATTAATCCAAACCCAATCATGCAACGACAATAGATCAAAATGTTTTTTAAATTTATAACCGATAGATAAAAGGCTCGAAAGGGGTAGTCTTGTAAGAGCAAGCTGAGTAAATTGAATGAGTTGGAGAGGGCGCCACGCGCGACGTAAACAACTACTCCGTGTAAGTTTTATCCATAAAAATATAAAATCCATTAATTTTAGTGAAAATACTAGAGCAAATTATTAAGAGAACAACAACTCATGTGCATTAGTGTTATCTTTTAGATCAAAAGATTAAATAAGTAACAAAGTGAGATATTTTTGGAAGTGTTAATATCGTTCAATTTCAAGTTAAACTAAAAAAAAACCGCTGTGAAAAACTAAAATAAAACCGCTGTGATAAACTAAAAAATAGTGACAATAATTAAAACTAATAGTACATAATATAGCCACAATAGCTTTGAACTCTTACATCAATCCTTCAAAGTGAAAAATATATTGTGAAAAACTGCTAAAATTCAAACATGAGCTGAATAGTTTTAATTACAAAATTTACTTGCACCTAATGATTTCTAAGTCGGAGTAGAATAACTATACACAATTGTTATTTTGTTCAATTAACATACACCTAGCGTCATCTAGGAGGGAGTGGAAAAGCTATCAACGATTGCATATGTAGAAAAGTAAGAACCATATTAGGTGTTTTGCCTACTGACCACTGGAGTTCGTTATTTGGAATATTCCATACTTTTATTTATATACTACAATTCAGGAAACAATGCCTCCAATTCTATTATGCGCTGGATACCACAAGAAGCTTCCAAAAAGAGAATTCCTTACCTGCTTACACTGTATTAATACATATGACCTGGAAAGTGGCAACGTATCCAGTAAGCGTTTTTATAACATAATGACCTCTGAGTATAGAAAACGCTGGAAATCTCACGAGCAAACTGAATTGACTCTGCAAAGTGTAACCAACGTGATAACCCGAAGCCTTCAAGAGAATAACAAAAAGATTATGGCGCAGCTACATAACACAGTATAAACAGAAGTACAGAAGGCCATACAATTATTAAGAGCAGAATTTTAACAAGATATATGTATTTTGAACGAACAAAATTAAAACAGAATAATAGAAATATAACAGCTTAGTAAAAGAATTGATGAAATACCAAAGGAGACAAATTCGAGATTACTGAAAAAAGATATGAAGAGTTTTAAAGCACAATATCCGATATCTTTCAGTGATAACAGGAACAATGAAAATTATTGCAAAAATCGTTTTATTTGCCCTAGAAGAATATTACAAAGAATTGAATACATGGACTGTTCTGGAACTTGATGCAAGTGGATCTGCGTGGATACATTGAAGATACATATGTAATAGGCCGATACAATAGAAATGAAAACAGGGCTTTGGTTGTGGAATTGATTAGCAAGAGAATGTTAAAGGACTTAATTGACAAAAGTAGTTACCTGTATAAAACTGGCCTATCAATTTCAGAATTCTTAGATAGGCCTTCACGACTGAAAAGAAAAGCCTTATGTGAGAAAATATTTTTGGCTCGGAACAATGGCCTTCATGCAGTACTACGGAACAACCAATTATACATTGAAGGAAAAATAATCAATTTCAATGAATACCCTGACCCTAGCGATGCATTGGTCCTACTGAATAATACAGAAAAAGAGAAACTAAAACCTGGAAAGAATCAACAGAATATGCATAATAATGTCCATGGTCATTCCTTTCGGAAAAATGCAATATCAATTTAATATACTTTACCAATATTCAACAAACAACATACAATAGAAACATTTTCACGCGGTAATCCCTTATATGAATCTGTGTGCATATATGAAAAATGGTTGACGTAAAGTAAAATTTAATACAATTTAACTTTTTCACAATTTAACAATTCATTTTGGAGGAAAACCCGGATTGCAGGAGATGTTTGCATACTTTTACAATAGCATATAGAATTCGTAGAGAAGAAAGATGTTACAAGCATATCCTAAAATATATATTACAAATAACTGCGGTAGAAATATGTAAAGAAAATATGTTGTGAAAGAAAATAATGTATGTGTTGTAGTAAGGTAGAAGGAAGGACGATGTGCTTTTGTGCCAATTACAACAAATTTTAAAATACTTAAATAATAAATACAATATTGTCATAGGCGGGCATTTCAACATAGATATATTAAAACCTAACAATAAAGTCTCTGGTTTCCTTAACTTAATGCCAGAAAACAAATTCAACCAACATATCAAAACACCAACTTATACAACGGGAACCACATCTACGTGTCTAGACCTCTAGAACTTTAATATTTATTAACTTTAAATATTTATTACATATAAATACTACTGTAGAAGAACTACCGCCTTATTCCAAAACACGGACTTAATATAGTACTGGAGTTAGTAATATATTTAAACCATAAACTAAGAAAAACGTTATTACAAAACGAAGATTATCTCTGGTTCAAGGATTATCTATGGTATTAAAGTTAATCTTTCGAGACCCCTAGTTTAGCTATGGTACTAACCTTTCTATATAGTTTGTGGTACTCTACTCTATACTAACCTCAATTTCGGTACTTCTTAATTTGAGGTGAGCGTTGTTTTCATTTGGTGTTATTAAAATCGTTAAAAATGGATATTAACATGATTGACTTGATGGATCTAGAAGATTTGGACATGCTAGACACTACTCGGCGACCTGATAGACATCGACATCGTGTGAATCCGTTTGAATTGAGTGACGAAGATTTTAGGTATAAGTATAGGTTCTCAAAACGTTTCGGAGAAAAAATAGTGGGTATCTTACGTGAGGATTTAGTGCACGACCCTCGAGGATGCCCATTGAGTCCTGAAATTCAAGTGGTTTGTGCATTACGCAACTGGGCTCGCCATGAAGTAAGTGCTGTTTATAATCTTGGTGGGGTCAATGTACCTAACATTACGCTAGATAAAAAGCCAGATAATACATATTATTGTTTTATTCGTAGATTCAAGACGATACAGCTGATTTACATGGTGTGTCTCAACCAGTAGTAAGTAGGACATGTAAAAAAGTAGCGGAAATTTTGTCACGGAAGTCCCGAGAATTTATTAAAATGCCTACTACTTTAAATGAACAGCAGGAAACCATTAGGAAATTTCGCAGTATTGCTAATTTTCCTACAGTAATTGGCGCAATTGACTGTACTCACATACGAGTAAAGAAAGTGAATGCTGATGGGGGTCAGTTATATATTAATAGAAAAGGATTTTCTTCAATTAATGTACAGGTAATATACAAATATTTTAAATAGCTGTGATTGTCTCTTAATAACTTTACTTTATCATAATAGAAAATAATTTGTTTGACTATCTTATGGTAATAAATATATATTAAAATAAACCAGAAAAACATAAAGTACTAATGAGCTCTTATTTTACAGGTGGTTTGTGACGCTGACCTGAAAATCATGGACATTGTTACCAGGTGGCGTGGTAGTGTACATGACTCCAGAATATTCCGAGAATGTAGACTAAAACAGAGGTTTGAGGCTGGTGCATTCTCTGGAATATTACTTGGTGACAGTGGCTATCCTTGTACCCCTTACCTATTTACACCGCTGCTGAACCCCACAACACCACAAGAAGAAAGATATAATAGGAGCCATATCCGTACCAGGAACACAGTGGAAAGATGTTTTGGTTTGTGGAAGCAACGGTTTCGTTGCCTATTAAGAGGTATGTTTGGAGATATTGAAACAGCAAAAAAAACAATTGTTGCATGTGCTGTACTACACAATATGGCCATCGACATGAGAGAAGATGTGTTTTCTGGTGAGAGAGATAGCATTGAACAATATTCATCTGAACCTATAGTACAAAGATATATTGCACCATCAATAAGGGGAAATATTAGAAGAAGACAGTTTATTGAAACTCATTTTCAGTAGGTAAACATTTTTTTTTACATATTTATATAGCTATTTATAATTAAAATTAATAATTATATTTATAAAATTGTCAATTTTTTTTCAATTGTCTAAAGCTATGTATATATAATTTATTTTATTTTGTTATTCAGAGGCCAATTTTGGCTATAAAATTACATTAAGGATCAATAAATGTATAAGACAATTATAATAATATTTCTTTTTGATTTCAGAGATAATACCCATTTATAAAGGAAAATATTTCTGCAGAGCCGTTGTCAGCTGTCAAAGAATAACGACTACATATTCACCAATATGAAATAAATTCAGGGGAGTATTGTGATAATATTTCATTTATTGAGCAAAATGCTTTTATTTAGGCTATAAATGATTGTGTTTCAGGGAAAGATGCGGGGTACAGCACATTCCACATCAATATGAAGCTATATTATATAAAGATTTAAGTGCTTTAGAGATATGTTTAGATTTTTTAATAAATATCGTCCCTCCTCTACATTCACAGCCAGATTTCCTTTCCAGAGGTGCAAGGGTCCACGGGGAGTAGGACTGTATGATGACTAAGTAATTAGGTTTAGTTTTTTTTATTATAGTTTTTTACTATTGTATATTATATTTCATTGTTATGTAAATAAAATGCATATTAATTATAATTATTTATTTTAATTATTAATAAAAGATGTACAAATATTTGCAGCAATTTAGTACCTGAAAATAATTGTTTCATATATGAGGATATTTACAAACATGTATCTGATATAGTCTCAAATATTTAGTTTTTTTTATAGGATAATGGTGATAAACACAGTCTACCACACACACACATACACACACACAGTCCATCTGATGTTAAGTAACTGCTGTGGTGCATAGACGTCCACATCTATCCTCGACTACAAATCAAAATGCAGATGCGTTGTCACCCGTGTGGAGTAAGATGGAATGCCTCGTTTCCTGTAAAAGAGGTCTCTCTCATACAAACTTTGTACAAAAATTTATCGAAAATTTGTCAATAAACAAGTTTAAATGTTTTATTAAAGAAAAATTTTATAAAAAGGTTATTATAATATCAAAGAATACATAAATGAGAATATTGGAAATACTGGAATTGAGGTGATCGCCACCATGGTGGTTCTATTAAAATTCATTTAAAAATTGTACAAATAAAATTATTGTTAAGAGAAATATGTTTATAAAAAAGTCCCGCTGGGTTTCTTACTAGTATTTAGTCTTTCAATAAGTATTCTGTAATAATCTATATTTAATAAAAATCATTCTATTCTATTCTCATTCTATAAACTCACCATAATAAACACAGCAGCATTAAGTTGCTATTTAACTTGTGTTTTTCTGACTTTCTAATAAAAATATTTGTAACTCTAATTTTCTAATTTTTAGGTTAGCTATTTTAATATTGTATTTATGTTCCTCTTCCATCATTTCCAGTTGTCTTTTTTTAAAATCTGTGTTACTTTTTACAATTGTTTGGTGTACATCTTCTCTTCTGTAAAATGAAATGGAATACTTAATGTAAGTTTTGTAGTTATTTTAGAAATTTACAAAGTATTCTAGAGTAATAAAAGTGCACTTAACCTTGTACACCAATTAAAGAAATATTTTTTAATTATTTTTAAATCAATTCATATTAAACTTTGCTTTTAATATTTGAAAACATGAAACAATTTTCAGTGTTTAAATACTAATTTTCACATTTTAAAAAGTATGTAATGTATCAGACTATGTAATTTTTTCAACATACCTATTTTGCAAGCTATTTTTCCTGTTTTTAATTTTTGTTATACCCCTAGTAATAATATCTTTATTGTTGGTTATTTTCACCATTTTGGCACTTTCTTCTGTATCTGTAGTTGGATCTATCTCTAAAAATTAATATAAATATAACAGTTTTAGAAAATTAACATTTATAATATTTACAAACTTGTATGCATATGATTGTAACTATAATAATAATATATTTTGCTTTTTAATAAATATTCAATCAGTATTATTTACCTTGCACATATACAACATTGGGTTCTGGATTTTCTACATTTTTAACTATAGCTGTGTCTGTTTTTTCAAAATTAAGGCGAGGCTTAGGGTCAGCAACTTCTTTTGATGTTGTAGCCACAGTCACTGGATCCTAAAATAAATCATTAAAACATTTATTAACATGTTTTCCTGTCACCTGTCATCTCTATTTTGCCCTTTATTGAATCAGGTATTTTCTATGTTGTAGAAATATTATTATGATCCAAGACAAAAGGTAATTTAATAAATTATTAATTATAATACCTAATAGACAAAAATAGAAAATTATAATCGGACTGTGTAGATAATCTAGTAAAATGTGTGTTATGATATTATATAGACCACTATATATGAATTTGTGACATTTCAATTTTGAATATAATTAATTATAAAGAAATTTATGTTAAATTGTTACTAAGTATATTAAATTTTGAATATTCGGAAAATAATTTTGGATTGTAAATTGTATGCTTTAAGAGTAGATTTCAGAGCACTACTTAGGTACTAAAGTAATGGAAAATAAAGTTCTTTAATTTTAATTAAATTTGTAAGACATGTAAGTAATTTTATTTACCACTGCATCACTATCATAATTATTTACTTCAACGATAAAGTCGTGAGGGGCAATGGACATTATTTCCAAGTCCTCAAGAGAAGGTGATGGAGGTTTTCCGCCACCCCCGGTCTTTGATTGTTTCCTCCTATATGTGTATAAGTTTGATTTAGCACACAACTTCGTTCTTTTCCAAGATAATTTCAATTCACCATCTGATCGGCGTTTACCTGTTATCTCATTAAATCTAAAAAAAAATACGAAATCACGTAAACAATACCATACCTATTTGTACACATAACAAATGCGATAAGTACTTACTTATTAGTTATATTCTTCCACTCTTTTATTTTTTGAATATTTACCGATGTTTTTGTCGACTTATTCTCTATTATATGTGCTGATTGTGAAATAAGTGTACGTAATATTTCCTATAATAATAAGAACATTCCTTTTAGTTGAAATAAGGATAATAGGAGGATAAGAGTATTGCTACGTACTGACAAATTTCGATATTTCACTAACTTTTTCTTCAGAACTCCAATTTTCACCCCGTTTTTTCTTTTGTTCCATTATTATATAAATATAACTGTAATAGCAAGTACTTAATTAATTATTAATAATTTAATTTACTTATTATAAGGCTGCAATATAAACTATTTTGAACGTCTCAAATCCCGCGCTCGCGTTACCTCTGTAATTCACTACATTTCACGCTAGAGTTGTTAAACTGAAAACAACTTGATATAATCAAAAGCGCGTCAAAAGTATATGTCGTGCTTGTTCAATAGATTTTAACGTAAACAAATAACAATGTATGATATGTTTTTGTATTGATGGATAATTATTTAAGCATAATTAAATGTGAAAATAATATTAATATTTTATGAAACCGAACGTTGCATTGAATGAAACCTGTATGAACGAATGATAGAGTGTCATTTTTTGTTTTTTATCTGTGAATGATATTTAATATAATACTAACGTTGGTATTAACTGGTCCTCGGGTAGTCTGCGTTTTGTAATAAGCACACGTTTTAGTGCTGGTATTAACTAGAATATTGTAACAAACCTGGACTTCTTACTCCTAAACTTAACCCAGTACTAAAACATTTTTTTGGAATAAGACTGCTAGGGTTTTCTTTTCACTCGGCGACAATTATACAGCTGATAATACCCCGACAAATTAAACAACTAGAATGGTACACGGAAAAACATATTTATAACAAAAGTGCAATAACACAGTTTAAAACATAATTACAGTTAACAGATTGGAACGAAATAATAGACGAACACAAAAACATAAATGAAAATTACGATATGTTCCTCGATTGGCCGTTCACTTTTGAAACATAAATTTGCTTTGTCACTCTTTCCTCGTTCATTCTTTCTACGTGACCAAACCACCGAAGAATTCTTTTTTTAATCCTAGTCACAACGTCATCTTGCAAAACAACGCCGACACAAAAAACCCATGTATCTGAGCCCAGTCGACTGTCCCGAGGTGTATAAAATTATTAAAAGCTTGAAGAATAAAGAAAACCACGGCATAGATGAACTTTCACCTCATTTAATCAAAGCATGTGCAGGCGAATTAATCATACCCTTGAAAATATTAATAAATCAATCCTTTAACGAAGGCACCTTTCCATTACAACTAAAGAAGACAATTATGAAACCTGTTCTTAAAAAAAGATGAAAAAACTGATCCAAGTAATTATTACCCTTTTGCCAACTGCATCAAATATTTTTGAGAAGGCCATTTGTTACCGCGTTACTAGATTTTGTGAAAAATACCAGATATTTTACGATTGCCAGAACGGCTATCGAAAAAAACTGCTCCACAGTTTTAGCAGATTACAAGTATAAAAATGAAGTTGTCAAAATTTTAGATAGTAAACAATACGATGTAGGTATTCTCTTAGATATGACGAAGGCAATTGATAGGGTGGAACATAATATACTATTAAATTAACTATACGGGTTAGGTATTTATGGCTCCAATCATAAATGGTTTGATTCCTACTTAAAGGACAGGCAGCAATTCGTTGAGATCGAACGCTTCAATAACACTACCAAAAATTTTTTTTTTTTATAAGATAAGGGTGACAAACGAGCACACAGTCCACCTGATGGTAAGTGGCTGCTGCGGCCCATAGACATCTACATCTATCCTCTGTTACAAATCAAAATGTAGATGCGTTGTCACCTGTGAGGACTAAGATGGAATGCCTCATTTCCAGTAAAAAGGGCCTCCGGCCACCTGCACTCACCAAGCGAAACGCAGAGGTAAACCTCTACTTCACGCTGGTTTTCTGTGAGGTCGTGGTACTACCCCGGTTCGAGCCGGCCCATCCGTGCGACAGCAAAAGCTGCCGCGTGGCTCTACCACGTAAAATTTCATACGTGCGCTCCGATA